TAATAAAAAACAGAACCTGGCTATTTTCTCATCGGAGATGGCTCCTGATGTTTGATTTATTCTGGACACGAGTGCTAAGTAGACAAAAGCAAAAGCAACAGTTCCTTGCAAAAGAAACTATGAAATAGTAGATCAAATCTAAGCAACAGAATTTTCTCAAGACACCTGAAACTCTAACTTGAAAGAGTTTATCGTTTTAAACCACCTGCCCCCTCATTAAAACAACTAGAAGAAGCTGATTTACTACATCAGATATTATAAATTCAATTAATTTAGAACTCTGTCACCCAGATTCTCACCCGCACAAAACTCTGTATCCTCATTTACACCAGTACTTGCCAGGCTCCACTGGCTCCCAATTACCGATTGATTTCAAGTGATCAATGCAAGGCTTATATTAACATTTGCAGTTGTTTCAAAGTATTCCTTTTTTTTGTTTTCAAATCCCTCATGCTTTCGCACCTCCCTACCTATCCGATTTGCCCCCTCTCCTCCCACCCGCTGCTTCCGCTCAACTGGCTCCAGCCTCCTGTTCGTCCCTCGTCCCCTGCGCTCCACCATCGTTGGCCGCGCTTTCAGCCACTGCGCCTCAAGTGTCTGGAACTTTGTCCCTCAATCCCTCTGCCTTGCCCTCTCCCACCCCACTTTCAAATCCCGCCTAAAAATCTTCCTTTTTGATCGTGCTTAGGGTCACCTTCCTCCCTCTCCCCTGGCTTGGGGTCAGACTCCAGCACTATCAAGCACTCCGGGACACTACCCGGCGTGAAGGGCGCAAAATAAATGCAAGTCATTGTTGTTGTAGTAGTAAAGATGTGGTGTAGAAAGCCAGGTGTATACCACTGCTCCAAAAAAATGCTTTGAAATCATATCACCTTCCCCCTCCCCAAAAAAGCTACTATTTAAATATCACGCACACTGCTCTTCAAAATTCTAAGACTATCCAAAAGTCAGCCCAAGAGCTTGGAACAAACCTCGGGGGGTGAGAGGGAGAAAAATCCAGTGCATTTCACCCTGCTGAAATCACCTGCCATAAAATCAGAACAATTCATCATCAAACGCAAAGTATAAAAGCGAGTTGAACCTGAGCAGCAGCTTCACTCGGAGGAACTTGTCACAGAAATGAGAGTTTAAGCGTCACAGGCTGTGAACTGTTCAAACAATTTAACCTTCCAAATCCTCAGAACATCACAGCTTGATCGGCAGAATTTGCTTCAAGGGTACATGCTGAACTCCCAATGAACTGGAAGACATGGTGCAAGATTAAGCAGTGTAACCAGGAGGTCACATCCCAGTCAGCTGCAGGCAGCCTTAGCAAACCAGTTTGCACTGCTCAAATGATAAACATATGTATATGAATGACATTACACTAGCAAAGTGGAATATATTAATAAACATGGATTTAAAAGATCAAACTTTAAGGGATGGATATTCCAGTCACCCTTGCATTCAGAATGAAAAGGAAAAATACAGTACAACGACAATCTGCTTAGTTTTGCCCGGAAAAATACAGTCACTACACGTTACAGTGAATCCTGTGAAGCACTTTAAGAACCCTCCCGATAGAATTTAAAAAGCATTATATCAAGGATTATTTATATTTCACAATGTATGGATTACATTTACTACCGTACAGTGGTGTCATGTCCTCCAAACAATTGACCTCCACTTCTATTAAATACTAAGTTAAGAATTCCATCTTCTGCTCACCATCTTAAATGCACTAGTTCTGATTTTGGTTGGATTTCAAACTATATTTTTGCACTTGCAATTGAATACATTGCTCCAGAGATCCTTTTGACGACAACATTGATTGTAGGCTAGCTCAATACTGAGTGTTAGGTGCAAAGTTTATTATATTCTTGCAATCTACTGTGTAAAATAGACCAATACCTTTTTCAAAACAGGAGTAATTCTTACAGTGAAGATTTCATACAAACACTGGTAAAATTCAACGCAAGATTAGCACTGAACATTAATTACACAATCATCACAGGCAATTCGAGGTTACTTAATGTTAGTGGTCAGTTATAATAATAACCGTTGCATTAATATTTATCATGCCATAGAGCTGTCTCAAAGCACTTCACAGGATAAAGTTGTGACTCTTTATATTTTGTAGGTGAATACAGTAGTCAATCTGTGCACAGAAATGTCCCACCAACAGACTTGAAGTGAATGACCAATTTTACTTGGGGGACTGGTTGCCGCAGTACAAATAGGATATTGGAGAAATCGAGAAGATACAGAGGAGGGTAACCAAAATGATTGAGGGGATGGAAGGACTGAACTATGAGGAACGACTAAGTAAACTGGGCATGTTCACACTGGAAAAGAGAAGATTTGATTGTTGTATTCAATTGCAAGTGCATGATTGTTGTCTTTAAGATTCTAAAGGGGTTAGACAATATAGACCATGACAGGCTGTTTCAACTTGTCCAGAGTAGTAGAACCAGAGAACACGGCCTGCGATTGAAGGAGGATAAATTCAGAACTAATCTACGCAAACACTATTTCAGTGAGCTAATAGTTATCCTGTGGAACAGGGTCCCTAGGGAGACGGTTGAAGCAGGAAGTGTTGATTCTTTCAAACACAGATTTGTTTACTTTTAGGAAATAACATTATGGGATATAGTACATAGGTAATTCGGGACGTATGTGCATGCAACCGCCAGGAAGGTGGAAGGCGAACTAGCTGGACATTGGTCTTTATTCGTCTAGCATTTCTTATGTTCTTATGACTGTTGGCCAGGACACTGGGAATCCCATGTCCGAGTAATGATATGGGATTTTTAATATCAGATAGAAGGGACTTCAGTTTAACGTCTCATCTAAAGGAGGGCACCTCAGACAATGCCGCACATCCCCAGCACTGCACTGGACTGTCAGTCGTTACTACACAAATTCCAAGTCCCGAGGTGGGGCGTGAAGCCACAACTAAGAGAATGCTACCAACTGAGCCAGATTGACACAGTTAAATTAACACCATGTTACAAATCATTTCATGGCTGTTTGTGGGACATTGCTGTGAGTAATTTGGCTTCCGCAGTTGCCCACAAGATCCAGTGTATTCTGTAAAGCGCTTTGGTACATCCTCCCGGCATATATGGCACTATGCCAAATGCAAGGCTTACTAACATTTGCAGTTATTTCAAAGTATTCCTCCTCAAAAGAGTAGTTGGATAACTACCAGCAAGTGGAGCACCACTCTATAATGTATAGCAAATAATGTTACTTCCTGTTTGCCAACACCTTTCCACAATCAACTCCAAAATCTAACTTTTTTTTAAAATGCAGTTTTTAAGTTGCTGCGGCAACTACTAAGCTACCAGTCATTTTTGTATAGGTATTGTTTCCACATCAGGTGTCTTGACACATGAGGAAACCGAACATCACGTTTCAGAGCATCCAAACCAGATTGGGTTCCATATAGGTATGCCACTTACACAGGGAAATTTCCCTTTGCTTGGAATTTAATGTCCTCAAGCCTTACTAAATTGATGAATGCAACAAAAATGACTAGTAGGTTAGTAGTTGCCACAGCAACTTAAAAACTGCATTTAAAAAAAAGTTAGATTTTGGAGTTGATTGTGGAAAGGTGTTGGCAAGTGAATGCAAGTGAACACAAGTAATGCTTAAGTATCGCAAATTTTATTTCATAGTCGTTTGATAATCACTCTACAAAACAAAATCCAACCAACTACAAAACAAAACAAATATGCTCCACATTACTTTTAAACCAGTTTTAGAAATACAGCCAACGTGTGCTTTTTCGTTCCCTGCATTTGCGTTTTGGTTCTTTGGTAATGTATTCAAAGTTCCTGGGCTGTCCAAAGGACAACAGAAGAACTCCAAGGCTGGAGATTTGTGTATCACTGACGGACATTATGAGCAAGTCAATCACTGCGAGTTTCCAACAGATTGGAAGCAAGTAACTTCTGTGATCCCGGGCACAGGTAGATCTCCTGCTACCCACTCACCTAGCGCTCGCTAATGATGCACTGAGCAGCCTCACCGTCATTGCTTGCTTTCACAGTGGCCAGGAATATCGACTTTGACTCGGATTGTTTGAACCCGACGAGCTTATTCACTATCTTCTGTTCGTGGAATTCAAACAAATTCATTCACCAGCATTTTGGAAATTCCAGTAAATGCCGTTACCAGCATTGTAATTACACTTGGCTGGAAATTCAGGCTCGCCAGATCAGATCCCGCCCCCAGCCGAGGTTTTAGTATAATTGGAAAAATGACGGAATCAATCATCAGGAAGAAAATGGAAGATTACTTCCATCGGTTCAGAAAGATTTTGGCTGTTCAACCTCCTAGACTTTTTGAGCACAGTGACAGCTCAAACCAACTGTGGGAAGCCATGTCATGTAGTATATCTAGATTTCCAAAATGCACCAGATGAAAGACTGCTACACAAACTGAGGTCACTGGGTATTAAGTGCAAGACGTGGATTTAGAGTCAAATTCAAGAATTGATTGAAGATAATGGTGCAGAGGATCTTTATTAGTGGAATCAAATTCAGAATGGAAAGATGTTAAGTGGGCTGTTTCGGGGACTAGGACTCCTCCTGTTTCTTGTGTATATATTAATGACCTGGATTTACAGACCCAGTGTAACAAAGTTAAGTTTGCAAAATACACCAAGTTGGGGGAACTGTGGAATTGGAGGAGGCAACAAAAGAGAGCTTAATAGGATTTGCACATGGGCTGATGAATGGCAAACAAGTTCAAAACTGACAAATGAAAAGTAGTACACATAAGTAAAAATAGGAACCACGTGTACTCAATGACAGAAGGTGGGAACTGAAGGGAGGTGTTAGTTGACGCCATCAGTCGCCATGTTAAAACACTATGAAATAGCAATAAACAAGACAAAACAGGATTCTGGACTAGAATTCCAAATCAGTTGTTCCAGAGGCAACACACGAGTGATTTTAACAACAATACTTCCATTTGATACCTTCTGCAAAATCAGCACTCATCCACTTACTTACATTTGTAATGTATGGTTCAACAGCTTGAGCCGTCCTTTTTAAGAGAGCCTTTGCCAAATCATATGCCTGTTTGTTCAGATTCTGTAAAGACATAAAAATGACATAAGCAACTTGAAAATAAATATTGAAACCTTTGAACTTCAAACGTTAAACTCCATTAAGTTAATACTAGTATTATTTTCCAGTTAAAATTATTTGTAGAAATTTTAAAGTCAAACTCTTTGAACCTTGTACTTGTGAAGAGTGTATATTGTTAGACAAAGGTTCATGTCCGGGTGTATTATTTGACATCATCTTTCAAACAGAGTCCTTATCCCACAATTGTGAAACTATAAATGGAGGCTAAGAGATTTGCCAAGGCAACTTGGCCATAAATAGATCACAAGCAACATACCACTGCTCTAATGGATTGTATCGTGCTTTGCAAATTAAATATAAAATAAAACAATTAATATTGAATTAACTATACTTGACTAACTATTTTACACAATGGCATCAATTAATAATCATAATCCTTGCAATTACAACACAGTACAAACGATCCGTTCATTTACAAACAACAACAATATTCAGTTAACTAAAAACAAATGTCTGAAAGCATTTCAGACTTGTAAATGTAAAAATTGGCATTTTCAACAGATGGAATAAAATTAAAAATGGTACAAATTATGAGCCTATATTGGGAATAATGAAATGAAAGCAAACTTTAAAATTTAGCAGAGTAGTTTAGTTACAATAAAACCAAGGAGGTGCAAACATAATTTTATATAACAAGACAATTGAAGCAGTTTATACCAAGCTAAAATACTTTCTGTATGATTTCCTTCTTCTTGAATGTACAACTAGGCTGAAGTTTGGATTGGGATTACCTGTAGCATTTTTTGGCGATGTGCAATTTTAACAGGGATATTACCATCAGCAGCCAATATCGCCAAATACCCTTTGTGTACCCGACTGGAATTAAAGGTTGTCAGTTCAAGCATCACATTGAGGTCTTTGAGATCATAGTCTAGACTGACACTCCAAATGCATTGCTTGGAGAGTTCTGCATTGTCAGTGGTGCCATCCTTCAGATGATGTTTAAAATGAGTCCCTGTCTGCCTGTTCAGGTGAATGTTAAAGAATGCCATCACATTATTCAAACAGAGGAGTGAGTTTCTCCTGGTGTCCTGGACAGCAATCACCCAAATAAAATTGATCATTCACTTTGTGGCCTATTTATTTGAGCAAATTGGCTGCCACTCTCACCTACAAAGTCATTATGTTTAAATGTAAATCCTGTGAAACACTTAGTGATAAAGCACTATATCAAACCATGGATTATTATTTTACTACTTTTTTTTAGACCAAAGATTTGTTACGCATTGCTAAAAATCTATTGCTTTCATTATGGCATGAATATGTTGTGCTTCGCTAACTATCGATGCAAAATCTTGCAAGATACAAGAAATATAATAAATTACATTTGTATAGCACCTTTCACAACTGGAGAATGTCCCAAAGCGCTGAAAACATGAGATACTCACCTTATGTGCTGGTACAAGATTGACAAGAACAGTATCCAAAAGCTCTTGAGAAACTGTGTCTCCTTCACAAACGATGGAACTCATCAGGTCCACCATGTGCATGTGAACCTTCTGGTTATGGCCATTGCTGCAGTGCAACAAAATGAAAAATAGGTCAGACGACCAATATATTGCAGTGAATTGAAAATCATGTCCATGATATTTTGCAGCTATGAGCGGGCTTCTAAATAGGAATACATCTGCAGTGGGTTTTAAGAGAAAGGGCGGCATTAATATTTATAAAAAGATTTCAAATGCGTAGCTATCATATCTGACACTCAGCACAAAGAGGGGGAAAATAAAGACAAATGATCCATGTTCAAGTTACAAGATTTTAGTTGTTCATTGAGGCCCCATTGTAACGTGCTTCTTTATAATGAAAATTTGGTCATAATGAGATTTCATGAGGAGCCCAACAGCCAGCTCGCTCGTTCAGTCGCTTCCTGCACGCAGGATCTTTTGTGCTGAAATCAACGGCTGGTGATTGGGGCACCAGTGACCTCACAACATAGGGGATTGTTGGAGAAGATGATCCCCAGTGTTAGAGGAATGAGCAACGATTAAGACAAGTGAGGGCTCTTCAGCCTTGGGAGATGACTCAGAGGGGATCTGATTGAACTGTATAAAAGTGGGATTGAAAACATAAACCTAGATCAATACTTTAGGATACACCAACATTGCAACGCTAAACCTATGTCCTCTTGTTTTTGCTAAGGGTAGTTTCAGGATAGATATCAGGAAGTCTTTTCTTTACTCAGAGGGTAATTAACAAATGGAACAGGTTGCCAGAAAAGAGGGTAGAGGCCAGAGTACGTTTAAAAAGCAACTTGATTTAAAAATCTGTGAGTGGAATGGGGGTGGGGGAGGGGAGGGGAGGGAAAGAATTCAGTGGATGTTCTGGAAGGATGAGATTGGATGGGCCAAAGGGCTTCCTTCATCCAAACCTATCTTGTGGGAAAATAAATAGGTTATGCTGTCATAGGAAGACAGCAGGGTAGGTATTCTGGAAGGATGAGATCAGTGGGCCAAAACACCTTCAGCGCTTTGGAACGTCCTCCCGACGTGAAAGGCGCTCTATAAGTGTAATTTTGTTGTTGTTCTTCATCCAGAATAATCTCATGATTTTGAGACTTCATGTAAGCTGCACATATACAAAGCAGGAAGTGACATTGGCTGTAACCTGATGACCCTGAAGTCATTTTTTTTTAAAAAAGTGCAGAAGCGCTAGCGCTCAGGGCGCTAGCTGGCGAGCTCTGAGCATGCACACTGAAACTGGAGCTCACTATCGATTGGGTTTTTATGGATCTCAACCACAGTGTTATAACAAAGCTCTACTGTATCGTCACCAATTACACAGGAGACCAGGGTTCAAGCCATGCACAATTAGAGGAAATTCTTCTGAATTGTTGTGGAATGCACTGCCACAGACGGCCTTAGGTACAGTAACAACTGGGATGTTTAATGGGGACATGAGATAATAATATAAACAGTCACTAATTAACAGCATAGAACCATATATGCGGTTATAGCATAGAAGATCACCATTTGGCCATCATTTTTGTGCTGGCTCTTTTAAGAGAGATCCATTTATTCCCATTTACTTGCCCATTCCCCATACCTCTACACTTTACGGATGCTTAAGGTATCTAGTTCCCATTTGACGGAAAATATGCACCACTGCTCCCGACAGGGTATTCCATATCCTAAACACTCTGTGTGTTAAAAACATTAAACAGGTTAACCAGGAAGGGTGATGGCGGCCAAATCACTGGATTCATTTAACAAAGAGATTGACGCTGAAATGGGAAAGGCGGGCATTCTAGAAGGGTGATTGCTCCGCTGTGATCCAATAAAACAGTTGAACGTGTGCTAAGCTGAATGATGCACTCCTTTTTCTAAAATAATATCTTTCACCCCAGCTTAAGCAAGATCAGACTGCTGCTGTGGGAAGCTTCACTTTCACGAACGGATGGAGCCAAAGGAAGCCACATGGTGTTAAGAATACTCAGAGTGGATAAAAATTGCTAAATCACAACAACAAGAAATTGTATTTATATAACGCTCTTCACGCCGGATGGGGTCTCAGAGCGGTTAACAGTGGCAGAGCCTGATGCCGAGCCAGGGGAGGAAAATTGTGATTTGCTCATCACAATTCTCTGATGCGCAAATCTAGTAAGAAATGAAAGAAACTACAGAGATTTCTAAATAAAAAAAGCAGGTATGCCAAAATAAATCAGTCGTTTGTTCACTTTAAAAAAAGATAAATAAAGCTGAAGAACAGAATGTAGCCCAGTTCTCGTTAATAGAATTTATCAACCACACATGTGTAACTTCTTTTCTTTTTTAAAAAACAAACTTACTTTATTACTTGGAAAAGCGTTCTGTATAACTGAGTGAAGATGTCATTGCTATCTTCCAGCTCAAAGCAGATGTTATAGGACTTTACCCAGGCAATATTCTGCAACAAACAAAGCAGAAAATAAATATTTTTACAAAACACTCTTATAGTGGCCAAAATTACAAATTCCTATGATGGCGGAAGCAAGCACACCAGAGTACGGTAGGGAGAGTGACCTAGTGCAAGGGGTAGTACATGGAGAAGAAAAGAGAGAACAGAACGCATATTGAACACGCACTGAGAAAGAAAATACCATTAAGTTTAAAATTTTTAAAAATATTTTGAAGTTCACTGGTGCCATACAGATTGTGGTACAGCTTGTGAACTATAAATAAGTGGGGGGAAAAGTGGCAACGTAAAATTATCAAGAAAAAAAATCTGATTTCCAAAAGTTAATCTGAAATCACTGTAATTACACGTCCCGACTATTTTGGTACAATGCACTTGCAAATTATGGTCAGCGATTACATTATTTTTGCAAATTTGTTTCATGTGACACAGGTGTCACTGGTGTACCACCATTCTACAAACAAGACTTTCTGCATTATAGTCATAATAATTTGGTCACTCGATCCACGACTGTTTGTTGGACACTGCTGGCGCAATTGGCTACCTCATTTCGCCCACAAAATATACAGTCAATTTACTTTACAGTATATTCTGTAAAGTGCTTTGAGTCGTCTCAACAGGGAATAAGGTGCTCTATCAAATGCCAGTATTATTATTATTATTATGTCCATTTCCTATGTTCCCAATCAGAAAGTGGACCAGAATGTGGCATTAAGCTATAGCCCAGGTAAGGCAGGATAATCCCTTTGGACGCTTTCTCACGCATCACAAACGTCATGATCACAAGCAGCTCTGGCAGAGGCCTCAACAGATCATCACTCTACCCTCAAACGGTGAACAGTGCAGAGACCCAAACCCAGGAGAGGGATTTCTCAAACTTCTCTCTGTGGATTACATAACCCACTATCACTTTACTCAGCTCAGTGGTCTCCCACATTGTACATCAATTGGATAAAACAAGATTTCTTCCAAACTTTATAGATTTCTCACCTTGGGAATTACAATTTTTCATGCAAGATTGTCTACGGTCATATGCTGACCCATAACGATAAACCAAGCTCATACTAGCTTTAAAAGCTGTGAGCGATCATTAGCTACTTTTTATTAAATACTGATTATTATTCACTGAAATTATTATTGGCTGAAATCAACATTGAATCAATCCTGCAAGCCTGAAGGAATGAAGATGGTGACACCTTTGGGAATCGGATAGGTAATATAAAATAATCCTTGCATTACTTGTCAAAAGGAAACATTTTCAGGGCTATGGGGCAAGTGCTGTGGAGTGGGACTAGTTGGATAACTCTTTCAAAGAGCCGGCACAGGCATGATGGGCCAAATGGCCTCCTTTTGTGCTGTAAGATTCTACGATTCTTTACCCATTCTAAATCACAACATGCAGTAATTTGTAATAGTACAACTCAGTTGCAAACAGTTTCTATAAAAGAAGCTGTGTATTGTAGACTTCCTCATGCCTAATTCATGACTACTACTAATTTCTGCAGTCTGAACACATTGACAACTAAAAGGAACGAATGAATCCTTGTGCAGCTTGATCATGAACATTTAAGATACAAATTTACATTTGGTAATTACACGTTTCAATTCTTAAATACTCACCTCAAGCAAGTAGAAGTATCTGTTAAACTGGGCGCTTTTAGTGTCTTCTAATCCTTTAAGCTGTCTGGTTATGAACATAAAAATATCCTGAACAGAATACAAACGAATAGTTACATCTGGTAAAAAAAACATTCAGAAAGTTTTCTTGGGGGAAACGAAAAAAAACGCACAAGTTCCATACTTTCACGAAAGCAAGACAGCTTCTAAGTAGCTCTGAAGTAAAATAAGACATAAAAATTACAACTTACATTTATATAAATCTTTTCAAGTAAACTAAACCCCTTGGAGGACTTTAACTGAATGAGACTAAATAGAAATGAAGTGAATGTTGTAGGAAAATGCAGTAGCTAATTTGCACTAGCGAAGTTCTGCAGCAACCACCACCACCAAAGAGGAGAGTTACCAGTTAGGACAAGAAAGGAACATGCCATGATAATTGAGGTACCTTAATGTCCACTGGATTCACAAGTGGGAATCTAATTTAGTGGCAAAAGAGTGATACAGTAAAACTCACATAAGTCTTATCTGTGGCATGTGGCGATGAGTGAAAACTCATTGAATCGCGGGAAATGTAGGCTCAACCCATCACTGCATGCAATTTACCGGCTGCAAGGACGAATTACCGCATGCGCACTTAATGGCTGGATTAAATTACACGTGCAGTGTAGATTGATTAAATCAGATTTTGTACAACTTCTAGTTTGCCTGCAACTCAGACTTCGTGCAATTCATATGTTATATAGGTCATATCAACTGACATTAATCATACTTTGCATATGACTTATAATGTTCGAGTAATGTTCGAAACATCGCCAGACTACGGCACTACCTCACCCCTCACGCTGCTGAAACTCTGGTCCACGCCTTTATCACCTCAAGGCTGGACTATGGGAACTCTCTCCTCGCCGGCCTTCCCACCACCTCCCTCCACAAGCTGCAGGTCATTCAGAACTCTGCAGCTCGTGCACTGTCCCGCACCAGGCTTCGTGACCACATCACTCCCACCCTCACTCGCCTCCACTGGCTCCCCATCCCCCAGAGGATTGATTTCAAGATCCTCATCCTCACCTACAAGGCCATTCACGGCCTCGCTCCCTCCTACCTCTCCAACCTACTATCCCCCTACCTACCTGCCCGTACCCTCCGTTCCTCTGGCTCCGGTCTGCTCCACATTCTCCGCCCCAACCGCCCTACCATCGGTGGTCGGGCCTTCAGCCTCTCAGCCCCTAGGCTCTGGAACTCTATTCCCCAGTGCCTTCGCCGCTTCCTCCCTTTCCTCCTTCAAGGCCGGTCTCAAGACCTTTCTCTTTGACCGTGCCTTCAGCTCCCCTCTCAACCCCCTCCTCGCTCCCTCCCTTCCCTCCCCTCGCACTGACCATTTCCCTCCTGCTCGGGTCCTGACCCAACTGTACAGCGCCTTGGGACGTCCTCCCGACGTGAAAGGCGCTCACTAAATGGAATCTTCTTGTTGTTGTTGTAATGTCAAACTTCAATAGAATATAAACTCTTGAAGGAGACTGGGCAGATGTGCAACTTAGGCAATTATACGACTTATACAGATCAGACTTATGCAAGTTTTAAATGTATTAAATGTTTATGCTCCCGACTGATTCAACCTGTGTGTTTTACTGCATCTGGGGAAAAAAATTCCAAATGTAAAAATGAAAGATTCCATTTTTTTAAAAAAATACCTTTAGTTTATCAGGTGATGTATAGGGAGCCTCTGGGGCATAAATTCTAAAAATATCAGCAAGGCAGCAGGCAACAAGCAATCGCACATCTTTGTCAGGATGTTTAAGAAAAAAATCTGAAGCGAGATGCAAGGCCAGATTGAGGTACAAATCCTTCTCGTCTTCTGAGTCCTGGTCCATGTCCATGAAGGTTTTCACCACCATCTAAGAAAACAAAAAAATGGAAATATTTAATCAGAGCACTCTAGATTTGTGTGTGATCCAACTCCTCACAAGATCAATGTCTACACACTATGGGTGAAAATAGTGACATGCGATATGATACACATCACTGAATATTCCACCTGGGTGAGCCCCAAGATTTTACTTAAATGGTTTAGGCTCGACACTGCTCGCAGCTGCCAATCGTCTTGTTGTCCAAGTCTATTCTGAAACTGATGACAAGAAGTAGCACAAGAAATATTTGGAGTTGTTTCTCCATATTTTCAACCCATTACAGCTTCTCCCATAAGAAAAAAACATCTTAAGCACCTTGGGATGTTCTCCCGATGTGAAAGGCACTATACAAATGTAATTTGACACCAATAAGCTTTCCCACTTCCTGAGTCTCCTTGGAGTCACTGCTAGGCCAATGGATAGGCAGCTCTCCCCATTCCATCCAATGGAGGTGGAACACTGCAAGACCAGCTGGTCAGTTAAGCTCTTTTAGTCTGGAGAGTGCTTGAACACCAATGTGAAGTATTTCAGACCACAGTGTTGTGCTTTGCTTGGCAAGGTTCTCTCTGATAGAAATTAATAAGTCCTGTGAGAGCGAAAAAGAATCGATAAGCTTACTAGACACCTTGCACCTTGAAACATCCTTGAAGAGTCATCTGAAAAGTAACTAAGCCATTTCTTTCAGCAATACCATTGGCCAGATGTTTTGGAATATTAAATGTGACCAACTGTGTGCCCAAGATTAAACCCTGCTATTATTGGGGAATCACGCCTTACATTAGAGTGCCACAAGTCTCTTGCAGGACATTCAATTGTGACTGTGATATTTAACCCAGCTTATTTTATGATGAAGATACAGTGTCTCAAACAAGTGCAGCAAATGCAAGTGTTGTGCAGAGAGCAACAAACATTTGTATAGCGCCTTTCACTGGGGCTGGGGTTTGGGATCAGGATGGGGGGGGAAGTGTAGGGAGGGTGACCGAAGGTGCAGTCGAAAAGGAAGATCTTCAGATGGACCTTGAAGGAGAAAAGGGAGAGGGCAAGGTGAAGGGAGTGTGGGATGGAGTTTCAAAGGGTGGGGCAGAAAGGCTGAAGGCAGTGGGATGGGCAGGGCCAGGGAACAGGAAATAAAGGAAAAAAGAATAGTATTTTGTGCCAGATCTATTTTTCTATCTACTCTGATTCACAAAAAATCCATTCCTAATTTTTTGTTGAATCAGAAATCAATTCAGTTCCCTTTTGAACCAACCATTATCTGAGGTCAGCACTAGATGGCAACCTATCCCACAACTCAGCAGCAAAGTGAGAAGAAATCTAATCTGTGGCTTCTTTAATTTATAATCACACTCGCCCTAGTACTTCATGTTTGCACAATACGGGTCGCTAAAAATGACTGACAAACTCTACCACAGCCCTTCAACAAACAAACAGTGTTGGAAAGATTTGTTCTATAACTGAGCATACATATGTAAACCTAACCCTGCAAGTCTGCACAGGTAGAATCTCTAAACGTTAGAACATTGCATCAAAGATACAGAACAATGAAATTCACTTTACCTCAACCGTAAAGCTCAATTATCGATTTGCAAGCAATATCTGTATGGATTTTCCAAACTCAAAGCTTATATAATTTCTTCCAAAGTATCGCACTGATCAATAAAAGTTATTTTTGATGTTTGGTTCAAACAGGGGAAAAAAAGACTCAAAACAAACCAACCTTTAGCCTTCGAACCATTTCCTCCTTTGATATTTTGTCTGAGATTTCTTTCACTCCAGGAGGGTACGTAATTTTTCCATCAATCACCTTTGGCTTTGTGGGAGCCATGGCTGGGCTTCCCGTTTCTCCCTTTAAAACAAAGAGAAAATGTTAATCTCAAACCACAAATTGCTTATGTTTTGTTCTGGAGATTTGGAGGGGGAGGGGGGGAGAAGAGGAAGATATTAATTCAACTTGGAACACAGGACAATTTTTTTCCCCTCTGCCAGTTTTCTGATTCATAAGAACCTAAGAAATACTAAACGAAAAAGACCAAGGTCTATCTAGTTCGCCTTCCACCTCTTGGCGGTCACATGCACACATGTACTATATCCCATAATGTTATTTCCTAAAAGAAAATCTTATCTGTGTTTGAAAGAATCAACATTTCCCGCTTCAACTGTCTCCCTAGGAAGCCTGTTCCACAGGTTCACTGTTCGCCCACTGAAATAGTGTTTGCAGAGATTCATTCTGAATTTCCCCTCCTTCAATTGCAGGCCGTGTCCTCTGGTTTTACTATTCTGGACAAGTTGAAACAGCCTGTCATGATTTATGTTGTCTTGCCCCTTTAGAATCTTAACGACAGCAATCACATCGCCTCTCAATCTTCTCTTTTCCAGCGTGAACATGCCCAATGATACATGCAGAAACCCATCACCAAGCTGAAGAGAATCTAAGCAAGAGGTCCACATACATACTCCAACTACACTTTTCCTGTATCTGGAATGGAATACATACTCTTCCCTAGAAGGATGCATCCTGCTTACCCAATTCCACAAAGTATTAGGTACAGATTAGCAAGAGCCAAGAGGCCACAGTGTGCACTGGGGTACCACTGGAGTTTAACCAGCTAAAATTGCTGAGCTTGCCATCGAGAGCAGGGTTAACAGGAGCTGAGTGGGAAGAATTCCTGCCTGAGTGAAGAGTCTATCTTTCCAAGACCCGACGATAATCCAAACTGCCTGATATGTCATTGGCAGGCTCTTGGGCACTCCGACCTGACTGGCTCAGGAACCGCACTTCCAAAACTGTCACATAGGGTTGACTCGATTCGAGCATTCCATAACAAAGCATTGGCAATCCAACTCAGCTCCAAGCAAACCCCACTTACTTTCCACCCTCTGCCCCAGGGGGATGATAATTAAGCAAATTAGCAAGCTAAAGAGCATATAGATTCGCCTACGAAGTGATGAAAATACTACAGTTCCACTCACATTTAACATCGAGGCAAACTTCAAAACACAATTTTAAAAAAACAAATAAAAGTCTCCTGTGATATTTTTAACAATATATTTCTAATATTTGTGAGACTTTTCTGTGTGCAAAATGGCTGCAAAAACAGTCACTACATTTAACAGTAATTACGTGCAAAATGCTTGGATACCTTATAGGTGCTATAAAAATTGTTACAATTCGTTTCTGGAAAATATCAATATTGGTGCTGCTAACTTTAACGTTTTAAATAACTTTAAACTTTCCACCATGCTCTTTCCTCAAATTATAGTGACTTAAGGTTCATTTTGATCCTTTTGACTTTCAACAACAGTAATTTACATTTAAATAGCACCTTTCACGTAGGGAGGAACATCTCAAATGCTTCACACAGAACCCGAGGTGGAGGGAAAAGGTGACTGAAAGATAGGTGGTCATAAAGAGAGCTCTTAGGGCAAGTTTTGAGGGGAGGGACTCTGGGATGGAGTTCAGAGAATGGGGACAGGGTGGATGAAAGCTCGTTCACTGGTGGCAGAGCATCAGACTGCCACATTAAACCTGACCCAACACCCGAATTTTCCAGCAGGGGATAGGAAATATGACTAGGAGGGGAAAATTGATAGATTTCCCCTCACCAACCAAAAACATAGTTGGAGAGTCCCATCACTACCATTAACTGGGAACAGTGAACACTTCTTATATTCATCTGCTGAGCATTAAAGACCCCTTTGTTACAATCACACCGTTAACACTGCTTTCCACAATTAATTGGCTGCCGTGTTTCGCCCACAAAATACACATTTAAGTACACTTCACAGTATATTCCGTGAAGCGTTTTGAGACATCTCGATGACATGATTAGGGGTGGTATCAAATGCAAGGATTATTATCATCATCATCATCATCATCATCATCAAATGTGGGATCCTGGAACTCTTCTGCTTGCTGAACCAGGTATTTTAACATAAAAAGCTGAATATTTTAAATGCTTAGGCAACAAATTATTTTAATATACTAGATCTGGAATCAAAACACTATACAAGAACGCACTGGAGGATTTGTTTTCAAAACTGAAAGACAGAACAAGTTAAGTCGTATAGCTAAGGCATTTCTACAAATCAAATCTGTGGCATTTGTTACGACACTTTATCACGTCAGAAAAATCTCAGACCTTCACACACAATAAGCTACTTTGAAGTATAGTGTCAATTATGGAGGTAACTGAGGCAGCTCATCTGTGCCAGCAACATCTCATTAAACAACAATAGATGAACCCAATTTATTTTGATTTGCTTTTAATTCTTTCCTTGTTTCCTTTCCACTTTGCACACGTATACAAAAAAAATTTGCCCACACCGAGCACATTCTGTTTAGACCAAAGTATTCAAAGCACTATAGACCTAAACATAAGAATGGTTCCACATACCATTACTTTTTTTTTAAAAAATGCACGATAAAATTGATAAAAAAAATTATGGAGTCCGTAGTCTAGTGGTTAGTGTGCTCGCCTCGCAAACAAGAGGACCCGGGTTTGATTCCCGGTTGGGGTCCTAATCCCTCACTGTTCAGCACCTTGGGACGTCCTCCCAACGTGAAAGGCACTTTACAAATTATTTAGTAAAAATGATGAAATGTTACATTTTCCTATTTTGGTACTACTAAACAATGACTTTCTGACATCATAAAAAATTCTCCCAAATTGATGTTATTCTAGCGTAATGTTTAAACGTTTGAAGATGAGCACTATAAAGTGTAGACGAGAGGCAGAACAATGCCTGGCCATTTCACAGTCCTTGTCATAAATTAAAATTGAATCCTTGCATTCAAGATTGCATACATCTAATAATCCTTGCAATTTATCACATCTTGGAGAAGTTTCTGCAGCAGGAAGTCTTAAATAGACCCATAGAATGTTACTGCAAAGTGTGGTGACTGTATTTGCAGGGGAACGGGTAGTCAATTAGCACACAGCAATGTCCCATACACAGCCATGAAGTAAACAACCAATTTTATCTGGGAGAGTGTTGGCCAGGACACTGAGAGAAAATCCCTTCTCTTAACTAGTGAGAGGGACAGAAGGATTAGGTAAACAGCAGTCTGGAACTCCTCTCAAGACAACTATGTCCTACTGGGTGCCAGGAGTCTGTGCTAGCCACAATCTGGAAATCTAAATCTAAACCAAGATTGGCATCCAAGTTGTGTTCCAGAAAGTCGCATCGAGATTTCTGAAGGATTCGTTTCTAAATCTAGTATTCACCACTTACAAAGCCTTTTTGAAAATCTTGCACATCAGACCAATGCATCTTGAAACTTTCTAGGCAGCATGGGTACTACGCTAACTGGGATCGGAAACTACAGACTAGAAGCTTAATCTGTCACGTGATGTCAATTCCAGTGTATTTCAATAAAGGGGATATTTAGCAATGCTCTCATAGTGGTGGCAGCTTGGCACTCTTTGGAGTCCTGTGGCTCAGTGGTTAGAGCACTCGCTTTGCAAGTGAGAGACCTGAGTTCAATTCCAGGCAGGTCAGGGCGAAACCTTGGGCAAGTTTCCTTACTCCACACCCCTAATAATAATCCCTCCAAAAAAACAAAAAACAATAATAAATTGGTCATTTTCAATCCATATGACTGTTTGTGGGACATTGCTGTGCGCAATTGGCTGCCGCGTTCGCCCACAAATATACAGTCAATTCACTTTACAGTGTGTTCTGTGAAGCGCTTTGGGACGTCCTCCCGACGTGAAAAGCGCTATATCAAATGCAAGGATTATTATTATTACTCTCCTCGTTTGACTGTCTTCAGGAGTCAGCATTGATCCCTCTACTGCCTTTAATACTGTTGACTTCTCCACCGCCCCTCTCTGGTCCACCTCAACCACTCTGTCCTAGCCTGGATTCATTCCTACCTATCCCAGCGTCTCCACTTTATCTCTTCCAACAGCTTCCCCGCCCACCTCTACACAGTCCGGAGAGACTTGCGAGGTTCCTCAGGGCACTGTCCTCGGTCCTCTTCTTGTCTACAAATAGTCACTACACTTTACATAATTATTCGATGCTCCTACTTTGTGATATCTGGAAGCGTGGGGTTCATGTATGCAGATGACACATGTATGCAGATGACACATCTCTATCTCTCTGCCTCCACCTTTGACCCCAAGACCATTGCTGTTCTAACGAATTGTTTGGCAGAAATTAAGTCCTGGATGAGCTCAACCTTTCCCCAATTGAACGCCAACAAAACTGAGCTTCTCAAACGTGGTTCCCATCAGTGCCTTCAAACTTCAGGCACTGACAGCACCAGTCTTCATGATCCACCCTGCAGAGGCTTTCTGGATCTTCGGTGTCTTGTTTACCCTACATCTGCTTCCCCCACCTCCGCAATATTGTACGCCTCCACCATTGGCATCTTTCTCCAGCCTACTGAGATGCTCGTCCAAGCCTTTTTTTAAAAAAAAATATACACCCAGGCTCAGTTATACCAACAAAAAGGTAAAATACTGCAGATGCTGGAAATCTGAAATAAAAACAGAAGTCGCTGGAAACACTCAACAAGTCAGGCAGCATCTATGGAGAGAGGAAAGTGAGTTAAAGTTTCAGGTCAATGACCTTTCATCAGAAATTTATTCTGACCTGGGTTTGATTCCCGGGCTAGGTGAAACTTTGGGCACGTTTCCTTACTCCACACTATTCTGTTTAGCTAGCATTAAGTAGGAACACGGTTGTTAGTCGATTGACAGATCGCTTTCCCGGGGGTAATAATCCCTTAAAAAAATTGGTCACTCAATTCACGACTGTTTGTGGGACACTGCTGTCTGCACTTCACCCACAGAATATTGTCAATTAACTTTACAGTATGTTCTGCATAGCGCTTTGAGACTTCTCGAAGACATGATAAGGCGCTATATTGAACAAGGAATATTATTATATAGTAAGCCCACAGCTATCCCTAGGCAGTTTGAGGTGTCGGACCAAAACAGTTCACAGAGCTGCTGAAAACTAATGGTAA